TTGCCACTGTGCTTGCTCAGGATGGGAGACTGCAACGAAGCCAAGATTCATCTTGTCTGCTGGATTCCTTAGATAGAGAACTTTACTAATTGGCTTTTATGTTTGTGAATGTTCCTGTAAAGTGCTCTGAGACAACTTTGTTGTGATTTTGCGTTAAATAAATAAACTGAATTGAGTTGAATTGAAATTACATTTAAAAGTGAGGAATCCCTCAATGAGGATTCTGAGGAATTTTATAGACCTCTATTTTTTACCGAGGGAGGTTGTTGTGGTCCAGTGACTCTGCTCTATAGCCTGGACTCTGACAGGAGAGTGTCATGGTGGCAAAGTCAGTTACAGCCACAAGTTAGAGCCATGCCTGTGTTTGGTACAATTAATTAAGTTCAGTTAACTGTGGCCGCCATCTTACATTGGATTGATGACATTTAGTTAACTCACCGATTACATTCTCAGAGTTTCAATTAAATCTGTCCATTGATTTGAGATATTTTGCTAACACGGTAGAAAAGCCAACCAACCAACAAACACACTCAGAAGTAAATTCTGGGTTGTTTTTCATCATTTTTTTTTTCAGTAAAATTCCAAATGACTGAGTAACGGATAAGTTGACAATCTCTCTTTCTCTCTCTCTCTCCCTCTGTGTGTGTGTGTGTGTTTCCCAGTCTCAGCTGTTCCTCTGCCCTCACATGTTGCTCTTGTTGAAACTGAGCTGCCTTCCAATCCTCTCTAGAGCCATTTGAGCAGCCTCTCTGCTGCCCTTTGTTTAATTGCTGGATCCGTCTTGTGTCCCATAAACACCACACCTCGTCCAGACAGCCGGGCTGAGAGGCCTGAGCCAATTAGGATGTTCCTGGCATCAACATCACCATGCAGCAGCCTGGTCTCTGACATTAGGTAATCCTGAGGGTAAAGCCAATTACAGCCAGACAGATCAGTCTTCGCTCAGAATGAGCTATTTAAAATTCACTATAAACAGCAGTTAAAAAAAACAACATTTATTACAAGAGAAAAATGACAAATATATCACCACTTGCTGCTGTGCGGCCTTACATCTTATGCAGGGCATTCCATCTATAAAAGACTCATTTCATTTTTAAAGAATTTTATTTAATTTATGTATTTATTTATTCAAATTGCCTGAGCAGGTCAGCTGCAACCTGCTTCACCATCAGCAGCACTGAGCTCTCTGAGAAGCTGTGCAGTGGATCAGAAGGGTTAAAATTAATGCAGGGTTGAACATAAACCCTCAGAATCAACAACCTCCATCAAAAAGGGAGGGAGGATGCACAGAAGACTGTGGGGAGCAGCCTTCCCACCACCTCGGACCACTACACATCACGATTCAGGGGAAAGGCGCTCCACATCATGAAGGACTCCACTCATCCTGCAGTCTGTTCCAGCTCCCCCCCCCCCCCCCCCCCACCCACCCACCACCACCTCCACCACCACCAGCATGTGGCTGAAGATAATTCAGAGTGTAGTGAACTAGGCCTGAGACTTTATGGGACAGAAACTGTCATTTCATTGATTTGAATCCAGAAATACAGGTTGACCCATCCTGAGACTTTCTTTCTTTAAGAGTTCAAGTGAAAGAACACTCTCTTTTCTATTATCATTACTGTTTTACAAATGATTGATAATCAAAGTGTTTTTAGTTCAAACCATTTTAGATGTTGCAGTGAACTAATCATTTTTAATTAACTGTGAAACAGTAACAATGATTTTTAATCCTCATGCAAAGTTAGAATTCATGTTAAGGTCTGTTACAGAGTAATTATGCATTTTCTGATTTTCTGTCTTTGAATGAGCAGTGTAAGTTGGTCCAAGGTTGGAGTCAAACGCAAACAAGTTGTTGGAACGAGCTGTCATGTTTTTAAATCCTCTCAGACGTAAATATAGAGGCTGGCACCTGTTTTCCGCCAACTCGTCTAAATATTCCTCTCGTCTGTCTGAAAAACATTTTCAATCTGTTCCATAACATTCTTGCTGTTTTTCTAACTCCTAGTGACCTCTTACGTCACAAAAACACACCCCTGTCTGGTTGAAACGACCAATCAGGAAACTCCCAAGTGAACCGGAAATAGAGCTCTTTAAAGGTTGGTACTTCCTAGTTCAACCCAGTCGAGTTGGGAGTTGAGCTCCAGTCGTTTGGGAGAACAGAAGTCCAGCCATGATTCAAAGCTCTTTCGAGTATTGGGATTATGATATCTTCCACCTCTGAGTGGAACTCTGACGGACTCCACTCATGTGAAGTCCACTCGTGAGGTGAATTTGTGTCGAACAAGTACCGTCACTACTTCGGACGATTCACAGCTGTTCCTACGGAGACGCTGAAAGGGTGCGTCAAATGGAATTTCGTACAAGGGAGACATCTCCAGGTAAAAGAGATTTCTATCACCTAAGTGTACCGGGGAAGAAGCTGAGAAAAACCCGGAGAGTGCCGTTCTGATGCTGACACAAACATTCTCCCTCATCCATCTTTTTCTCCCTCTAAACGTCATCTTTCCATCTTTAAAATTCTTCTATCAAGTAGAAATTAATCCAGATATTTTTAGAAATGTCTGAAGCAAAGTTTTTCAACCACCGCCGTGTGGTTAATGTCTGTTGTACTGCTGCTAGCTAGAAAACAATCGCCGTATTGTTTACTTCCTGTAAAATTGCTAAATTAGCCATGTTGTTATTTTCCATATTTTGCCAATTAATGTAAATGTGTGATGTGTTATACTTTGATTCTGTTAATAAATGACCCACTGTCGTTGGTGAGTGAAAGATAATTAACGTCTCACGTTACATTTCTAAATTCAATGCACGTATATTATACAGTCCAGAAAAATGAAAGAATCCGTTTAAATTATGAATATATATCAGTATATGTTCATTCTACAAGAGCAACTGTCAGACTGCTGAACTCGAGCTGCACTTAATTCAGCCTCATCTTACATTTTTTAAACTTTATTTATTTATGCACGCACGCACACACACACGTGTGTATATGTGTGTATGTATATCTATTTATACTTTTTGTATTTATTTATTTGTTAATAGCTTCTTGATCTGGGACCTGAGTTCAAATTTCGTACCATAAACATGAAAATGTGAGCTGGTGTGACAATAAAAAAATCCTTGAAGCCTTGAAACAATCTGCGACTCAGAGCTGTGAACAGTTTTGAGAGTTCAGAGAAAATGGACGTCATTTTAAAAAGCAACAGGACCGAGAAACATTCGGTGTGACAGAAACACGTGCACAGTTTAAACAGAGGAGCCACTTCAGACTGCTCAGTTTCAGGTCGGCTGCAGAGCTTCAGGTCATGACTGGCTCCTGCTGCACCTTGGAGGGATGCAACAGGAAGTTTCTCTGCGATAGCGACCTGTTAACAGAATTAGATGTTGTCTTGGACAATATCTTCAGGAACTGCAGACATGCCTGAACTGAAAGCTGCATTTTTAATCAGAAGCATTTCATGAAGTGATGGAAGTAAAGTAACCACCCACTGCTTTTTGTGCCACAGTTTATGAAAAGATCATCTTTTGTTGAGACATGACAAAGTTGAAGCTGTTTTGCCCAAACCTTGAAATAAAGTTATGCAACAAGACCGAGTATTATGTGTTAGCGCTCAGCATTTGTGTTGAAGACGACTCTCAGCTACTACCACACCAAATCTGTAAAACTACTGAGTTGTAGCTATTTTTGTGTTGGCTAAGGTCACCTAACTGTGGCAGACATTCTGAATGGAGCTGACTCCAAAAGTGAAAGTACAGCCGATGATTACACACTAAGAGATTAATTAAAATCTGTCCAGAGATTCATAGGATATTTTACTAATTAACAGACAAACACAAGCAAAACATTGTTGACCACCTTTTTGTCTTTCCACATAAATAGAAAAGGGTCATACATGACCCTAATTGGTCATTTTGTCTCTAAAATCACTTACAGGTTAAAGTGTTTGTAACACTAGTTGTCATATTTAATATAAAGAATAATTTTATAACAGGTTTGCTCTACTTTCTGGTCAGGTCAGGGCGGAGGGCTTTAGTTTGATATCAATACAGTCATTAAACATCCAGCATCTGTCCATCCATATGTTGTCCATCCATCCATCCATCCATTCATTCATCTTTCCATCCATCCTGCCACACTCTCACTTATTGAATCAAGTATTTACATATAACGTACATGTTAAACAACCTGTTAAAATACACCAGAATGCAGGAAATTGCATGTACTTTATTCAAAACTTTCTGGGGGAGGATCCCCAGACACCCCCATCAATGTTTCCTCCCTACATTGAAAATTTTTCTGATGCCACTGAGTCCATTACAGTCCAGTACTGTAAACTGGTTTTACTGCTTTGATTTTAGCGCAAGGCTGGAATACATCTGTCCGCCACTAGAGGGCAGCATTACGCAAAGAATCCACAAGTCACCCATTAATCCAACAAGCAAACCTTCCGGTTCTCCAGGTGGCTCTAGTGAACGTAAGCCTAAAAGGAATTCTAACACTGAGAGGGCATCGCTTTAAAAACACTCCACAACAGACTACAGAAATCCCAGACGAGAACTTGTGTCCCAGTGCGGGAACTCCGCCTGAACAACTAACTCCATGGAAACTAAAAACAACGTAGCACCCGCCTCTCCGCTTCCAACCATTGGCTACAGGCTAAGGCTTTAGCTCCGCCCCTAACCCTGTGATTGGTCAGAACTGCTGCACGACATGAAAGCAACACGGAAGAAGGCCAAAAAAAGTTGTGGAGCGAAGCCTAATCGGATCGTGTCTCCTGCACGCTGCTGCCTTGATATTTAGCACCAGAAGCCTCCCACTGAGCCCCGGGAGGTTGAAGAGAGAAGCTCGGAGCGGGCAGCGCCAAGTGTGTGTGGATTTGAGGGGACTGGGTCGGAGCAGGGCCCGGTGTGTTGCTCCGTTTCCAGGGGTGTCCTGGTTGATGTCACCGCGGAGGAGGAGTTGGAGGAGGAGGACAGGTGCGCGGAGGGAAAGTTGCCTCTGTCTGTGGACGGACAGCGGGCACTGACGGGAAACAGGGCTGGAAGTTTTCCAGATGTATTTTTACCTGATTTACTCTTTCTGACTGTGAGCTAATCATCTAAACAAGGGTCTAATCTGAGAGGTTGTGCGCGCTCTGACGGGACTCCACGCACGACTGTGCGTGGTGGTTTGATTTTTTTAGTTGTCTCCCAGCAGGATAACCAGTAAAGTGAGAGGATTTGCTTTGGTTCCAGAGGCGCTGTAAAGTGTGTGCGTGTGTGTGCGTGTGTGTGTGTTGCTCCGCTTCACTGCGGCACTGACGCAGCTGGTGTCACGCTCCACGAGATGTTCCAGTGATTCACGAGAAGGATCGGAACAACACTCCGTAAGAAGGGAACGATTTTCGTTTTCTGCTCTGGGATGGAGTGAAGCACAGCGCGAGGCTCAGCTGCTCTGATCCGAGATGGTTGGCCCGTGCGTCATTACGCTCTGAGGGTCTCCTGGAGAGTGGTCTCTGGAACTGAAGGACGAGTTGGAGCCCCCCCTCCTCCCCTCCCCCAGAATAAATCTCCAGCAGTGATGTCCAAGACGCTGAAGAAGAAGAAGCACTGGTCCACCAAGGTGCAGGAGAGCTCCGTGTCCTGGGGAGGCTCCGGGGACCTGAGCGCCGTGCTGGAGGTGCGCGGCGGCGCGGAGCTCGGAGAGTTCCCGCACGTCGGGCGCGTGCTGTCCGAGGCGGTGGTGTGCGAGGCGGGGAGGTTCCCCGCCAGCGGGGACGTGCTGCTGGAGGTCAGTGGCACTCCGGTGAGTGGACTCACGCACAGAGACACGCTGGCCGTCATCCGACACTTCCGGGAGCCGGTCCGCCTCAAGACCGTGAGACCAGGTGAGTGTCAGCATCACTCAGCTTCAGCATCATCATCATCTAACTGCTCTCCCCACTTGCGTGAAATGTTTATATACACACACACACACACACACACACTATATATATATATATATATATATATATATATATATAAAAGAATTGAACATGTGGAGATGGAGACAGGTGTTTCCTGTTTGTCACCTGCAGGACTATCATGTTCTCTTCTGAAAGTCTCTGTTTTCCTCCTTTTTATTCTGCAGTTATTAAGCCAAGCTGTGTTTAAAGGGATATTCCGGTCATTTTGAAGTGAGGTTCTGTGGAACATTTCTGAACATGTAATTTAGTGTTGAATGCTGCTCCAACACTGTTTCTGTTCAGTTGGTTTTGTTCTTTACGTTTTTCTTGTTGCAGTGCAGCTACTTCTGCACACTTTGTGGTACTTCAGCTGTTCATACGTCTAAACATGCAGCTCATGAGGGAGATGGATGCTATTACTTTTTGTTTTTGTTACTTTTATAATTTGCTACATATTTTATTTTTTTATATCTATTTTCATAGAAAAGGTCACTTTAGTTAATTGAAACATTTTTCTTTTTTAAATCTTCTTTAGCCAACAGGCTCTGTTTTTGTGTTCTTGTGCTGATTTTAGCTTTTAAAAACCATCAGGCAAAGTTCAGCTTTTCTTTACCGTGTTCATATTCTTAACTTTTAGCTAGTCTTTTGCTTCTTTTAGCTTGTAGCCAGTCTACTAACTACTGTAAGTTTCTAGTCAGCCTTTTGATGATGTTTTCAGTTTGTTTGTTTGTCTTTGGGGATTTTTGTTTGTTCTTTTTTCCTAAAACATTGTTGTTTACAACGAGTCACACACCAACGATGTCCTTTATTTGACTTTAAATGACACCAAGAAACAAAATTATTAGCTTTCAGTGGGACTGACGGGCTACTGGCTAGTCCAAAGTCACCTGATCTTCAATATTTCAAGACAGTTCTAGAAAATACTCTTATTTAGACATTTACATCAAGTCACTTGGTTATTTGACATTACTATGACGTGTCCGTTTAAACTGACCTTAAGTTGGACAGGAAGTGTAACAGCTAGCTGCTGCCGTTTGTTACATCGGGAGCTGGCTGCGGGTCACGGGCCACTGCAGCTAACTGTTGCTAGCTGGGCCTTAGGCCTCCTCTCGAATCCAGGACCCGCCTCCAGCCCACGTCCTTCCCCCCGGCTCGAACCTCCCTCAGAAGTGCCAACTCACACTAACAATAAATGAAGGAAACGTGAATTCAGTTTTACAATTTGTATTCAAATCAAGGCAGGAGAAGGTTACAGTTTACAGCGCTGGCCTCTCCGGTCTACGGCTCGAGTATCGGGAACCGGAAGCGGGGATGTCCCGTGTCATTACAGATCTATAGGCCCTAGACTCCTCCTTCGCAGAAGGGGAGCACAACCTGTCACGTGTATGAGGGGGGAGCGACTAAGTGTGATCTCAACGGATCTTACGTGGTTTGACGTGTACGGAATAATGAGACGGTGCTTCAAAAGCCTTCCTATGTGATATAATTTCATTATAATCCTGTCTCAGAGCAGATCAGAAACTCAGGGTCAGTCTAGATAAATATCTAACACGTTATTTGTGATAATAAAAACACAGAGTTATAATGTAAAGTGAAACTGATAAAAGTGTAAAGGTCTACGAGTCCAAAGCTGTGTTCAGTCTAGTTTGTGTTTGGATCAGTTGTTAGCTCATCAACTGTTGGACATTAGTCTTTCAAAGAACGATCTACAACAGGTAAGACATTATTTGTTCATAACTTTTACACAGAGCCCTACTCAAACATCTAGAAGCCTACAGAAGTCATTCTGTGACATTTGTCTCAAAGTAAAGGTGTTTCTGGGTCTTGATGCTCATTTGTGAATATTCTGCCTCTAAGCTCTGCTGAGAGCTGATTGGTCAGTTCTTTTATTGCAGTAGTCACTTCCTGCCCTGTAGTTCTCCCTTCAAGGCCCACAGACGTGCCTTATTAATGGCACGGCACTAAAGGTGCCCAAGTGTTGCTGGTTCAACCCCACCATGTAGGCCCAAAGGCAGGTGTGTGTGGATGGATTTACTGGAGGCACTGGTTGTTAATGGTGGCTGTGCCAGCATTTAGGGTGGTCCTGCTTGCTCTGTTGAGATGAGCCCAGTCAAATCAATCAGACCAGTGTACTTACATCCCAGGATGCTGCCAGCTTGGCGGTACAGTTTGACACTCTCAAGAATTTTTGCTTAATGAGGAGAGATTCTATGGCCCAACACGACCTGTTGATTAGAGGCAGACGTGAGAATTTGATCAGTGTTTTTTGGTTTGAGTGTTAAAAGGTGTTTTCATGCTGCAAACTCTCAGATGCCTTTTCTTGACCCGACATTCCATAATGTTGAAAATCAACTGACACTCAAAGGACTTCCTTGCTCATCATCGCCCGGCCACCCTTTCCTCTCAGGACTGCATGTTTAGGTGTTTCTCCTTGGCGTCATGAGTAATGCATGTGTCATCCATCATTGATTGGGCCAGGATGAGTGGGTCTGTTGCCAGGTGGAGTGCTTCTAAACTGTGAGAGCGCAAAGATGGAATTGGGGATAAATGATGGGAGCATGTTGCAGCATTTGATAAATTACTGTGTGCATGTTTCTATGTAACCATGTTGGACCACATTTATTTGTGAGATGTTTATTTGGAAAAGAAAGTTGAATAAACTTGTGTCTGCCTGCACAGGGATGGTGTAGGTACAGTATGTGTCTCCCCTTTTTTCTGTTGCTTCACACTTTATCTTTCTTTTAGGCTCATTATCTCTCAGCTGTATGGTCTATAGATAAAACTAAGCTCTCCTATTCTCACTTTTTGCTTTCTTATCTTTTTTTATTTTTCTCTGTGCTTCTTATTTAAATTCTTCTCCCAATTTTCTTCTTTCCAAAAACCTTCTTGCCAATTTAGCAATTCTGTAAAAGCTTTTTTCAGTCTTCGCTTTGTTCGAGTCGAACTGGAACAATCAGACCTGCAGCTTCAGACCAGATGGGACTTCTTGCCCTCTTATCACAGCTCAGACCTTTTGAACATTTCCCTGCACAGTCGAGGCAGAAACCTGAAGATTGTCTCGAGTGGGGCCCCTGGCGCCGGACCAGCTGACGCGCTCAGCATGCAGCTCCCATCCTGTTAGCGAAGCAGGGCAATCGGCAGTAACCTTGAGGGGACAACTGAGGGTAGAGGCAGAGTGATGACAGGTGTGCTCAGAAGCTCAGAGACCTGTGTGAAGGTAACCTGCTGATTGATCACCGAGGAGACGTATCGCTTGTTTGTGCACCGCAGAGCTCAAGTCCCATCCAGAGGACCTGTGGTTGACAAATGGAGACTGAAAAGATTTTCAGAAGTTGTTGTTTTTTTCAACTAAAAGAAAATTTCTTGTTAAAATTGATTTGATCCGCACAACAGCTTAACGTATCTCACTGGGCTGTGACTGCTGGAGACTCAAACTCACTCAGTTTAACAGGAAAATACATACATTTTCCTTCCAGTGAAATCAGAGATATTGTGACCAGGTGACTAGTAATTCATGCACAGTCATGCTTTAAAACAAACAAACAAAAAAACAAGCTTATTTATGTGCGCATTACTTGCCAAACTGTATTCTAGGCTGTGCATATTATTTTATTGTGCTTCTTTGCCCACTTCATACTCATCTTGGCTAATCAGCCTCAGGTTCACAAGTTATTCTACTAGATTACATTTTAGGAATAAGAGTTGCAGTTTTGGACTGATTTAAAAAAATATTCTTCGTCATTGGTGTGATTTGTAGATCTGGTCATGCAGAGGATAACTCCTAAATAAAGCTCTTGAGACATTTGTGACGAAATGGAGAAGGGCTTTTAGTAACCTCTTATAAATCTGACTGATTTGAAAATACCTTTAAAATGCTTTGAACATATTTTTGACATGTTCATAAGTCAAGCAACAAGACTGTGAGATGATGTGTTTACAAATGCTGTTTGCAACGAGACACCAATAGTTTCAACCCAGTAAGAAACTACCATAGGGCCTTGTCGACACCTCTCATATTTTTTAAACTGCATTTTCTCCTTTTAATTATGTTTAATTATGTCTCCTCTTCTCAAATGATTCTACCAGAACATGGACCATGTTGCACTGCAAGGTAGTGAAAATGTCCACATGACCAGCAGGATAACGTATACAGACCCTTTCCAAAAAAATTAGAATATCATGGAAAAGTTGTTTAACTTCCATAATTCCAATCAAAAAGTTAATCTTTAATAGATGATATATTTAGGGGCCACAATTTAAACAATTTCAAGTATTTATTTGTTTATTTTTACATAATTTGGGCTTCCAGCTCATGAAACCCACAAAAACAGGATTTCAAGAAATTAGAATACTGTGGAGAAATCAGCCCAAATTTTGCAGAGCATGAATGTTTAAACTGAGTGTGACACACTAATCATCTTCTAAACTCAAAGCACCTTCACAGGTTTCCCCAAGAGTCATTAAATTGCTTCAGTTTGGTTCAATTGTCTCAGTTCAGTTCAGTATGGGGAAGACTGCAGACATAACAACTGGTCAGAAGACCATCATTGACGCCTTCCATAGGATGGGTAAGCCACAAAAGTTCGTAGCTAAGGAGGCTAGCTGTTCACAGAGTGCTGTGTCCAAGCATATCAATAGAAAGTCTAGTGGAAGGACAAAATGTGGCAGGAGAAGATGCACCAGCAAAAGAGATGACCGTGGGCTTCAGCGGATTATCAAACAGAGAAGATTCCAGAATCTGGCAGAGACCCAGAAAGAGTGGAATGAGTCGGGAGTCACAGCTTCAAAAACCACCACATTCAGACGCATCCGGGAGTTGGGCTACAACTGTCGGGTTCCTTGGTCCTCTTTTCCGATGAAAGTAAAGTGTGTCTTTCATTCGGAAATCAAAGTCCAAGGTTTTGGAGGAAGAAAGGTGAGGAACAGAGCCCATACTGCTTGAG